ACAACTATTTCTTTATCACAGAACACAATTTTAAATAAAAGTACTCTCCTCACAACAAGAACACGACTTTTACTAGGGCTGTAGTGAGGGTCTGATTATATCTTTACTGATGTAATTTGTAAATATAGTACTATAAAAAAGTGAAGTTCTTAAAAAAAAATTTTTTCATCAAAGGGTACCACTTTTAATATATAAAAACATTACAGTTTATAACAGCACAATCCAAACACCTTTCCCATGCAACACTTCCTAGAAAAATCTTTTTTTTTTAGAAAATGTTCACTTTTACTAATTTTCTTTTTCAATCAGGTATGAACATTATGATTAAAAATTATTATCACAAGCAGCTGCCTATAGGGAGACATTTCTGCTACTTTAAAAAATGGAGGGAAATTTATAAAAGTTAGAAGTAGAGAAATAAAGATGTTGAAAATAATTAATAACAAGAAGTTAAGGTTCTATAAATCCAAACTATTAATAAAAAAATTTCACATAAAGTTAAAATATACAACACATAAAAAATATGCAAAAGGATTCTAAAATTTAAAAAAAAAGAAGAAAAAAAATATTTCATCCCATAAACCATAAGGATATTTCACAGGAGTGGTAGAAGGAAAAAAAGTTTTTTAAACAGTGTGTGAATATCTTCAACAAATCAGCCACTCAAAATTTAAGATTATTTAACAAGTCAAAAACCTAATGAATTATAATTGGCTTAAATGTGTTTCACAGTGATAGATAAACAGAGTTAGGTGGGGAATTTGGAATAATCTTCAATCAAAATATGAAGAAGATTCAAAAATATATTATTAAAAATAAATATGTTTTAAGTTACTAAAACGGACATGCATAAATAATCATGTCCAATGACGTATTTTTTCTCCACATACTTTTTACCAAACACGAGTCTAGACCGTTTTCTCAGCTATAGTAATTTATTTTTATCACTAGCAGCTGCCAAATGAGATATTAGTTTTTATCCTCTGATTTGTTTTTCACTCAAGGTATACGTTATTGAGAGAAGAATGTTAATTGATGTTGTTAGGACCTCAAAGTTTAAATAGAAAATACACATATATGGTGAGTGAGTGTAGCAATTACCTTTTTTCATCAAATAATTTAAATTTTTGTAATTAAATTATGTTGCCAGTAGAGTACATATGCATATCACACTTAATTTTATATAAAAAACAGCTTGTAGTGATTCTAAATGATATTATCCACAAAAGATACTATTGTATGCTTCATACCAATGACATAAGAATACCTGGTGAAATATACATTTAATACAAATAATCTTACAAAACATCAGCTTTCTTTGTGAAAACATGACAAAACAAAACTAAAAACATGATAATTTCATGATGTTAGAAAAACATGTAGGTTTTTATTCATTTCTGTCAAAAACATGATAATGATATTCATCAACTACATTCTGTGTTTAAGGAAAAAAGAGATTAAAGATGATGTAAAGAAAAGAAGATAATACACTTCATACTTGGTGTAAAAAATTGCCCAAAGTATTCTATAAAAGCCCTAAAACCTTTATCAAACCAAATAGTTATAATTTCTTTTTCTTAAATACCAGACTTGTCACAGTATTTCCAGTTTTTCCTCCAAAATGAAAGATAGGTGCTGGAATCTGAGAGCACAAGATGAATTCTGAAAATAATCAGATATATAAATACAAAAAGGTAATATTAAAGTGGATATTTTGTAACAAGAAACTCATATAATGCAATTTCTTTCACACATAAAATCAATACAATTTGAGATTTTATTACGAATTTCATATTTTTCTTTTCCAAAGACTATCATCATACTATTCCTGAATTTTAACAACAGAAATAGTGTGGTTTTAGGCCTCAGGTTTTTTTTTGGTTTATGTATCTCCATACCTCTAAAAAAAAAGTACATCCAGTGCTTGATATTAAATGAAACAGATGATGATACTTTTCAAAGGGAAAATTTGTAGAGTTTATAGATTTCTCTTGTTGCAGAATTTTGCTGATGAAAATAATAAAGAAGTTACATTTCTGGCAGAAAAACTTATGTTATATGTGTATCTTACACTTCCAAGTTTACTTTTGACAACATAATTGTCTTAAGTTTGAGTAATACAAATCTGATTTGCAAGTGAAACTTTCTTAATTTGTGGGTATCAAATGCACATTCCTAAGAAGTGCTTGCTGATAAGGTCAATAAATCCAGTGAATGTTGCAAGTGTGTTTGATGTAGCTGCACCATCAGTTATACTGGTAGGCACATATCTATACATCACAAGAAGTAGAAGGTTTTGTGATGTTGCAAGTGTGTTTGATGTAGCTGCACCATCAGTTATACTGGTATGCACATTTCTACACATCACAAGAAGTAGAAGATCTTGTGATGTTGCAAGTGTGTTTGATGTAGCTGAACCATCAGTTATACTGGTAGGCACATTTCTACACATCACAAGAAGTAGAAGGTTTTGTGATGTAGATGCACCATCAGTTATACTGGTATGCACATATCTACACATCACAAGAAGTAGAAGGTCTTGTGATGTTGCAAGTGTGTTTGATGCTAGCTGCACCATCAGTTATACTGGTAGGCACATATCTACACATCACAAGATGTAGAAGGTTTGTGCTAGATTTTTACTCTTTTTTTTTTCTTCCAAGTATTAAAAAAATGGAAGTAGTCAGTTTTCATAGGATTGAAATTCTGTCTTCACTTACAATTACTTTGCATTTTAATACGTTTCACAAAAGTAAGCAGTATAAAATATTATTTTCTGAAATGAAATATTCGTATATTTGTAAGGTATTAAATTAGAAAGAAAAACTGAGACCTTGAATTTCCTGTATTTTTGCTGAAATTTGTCAATGAGTTTAAATCAATTAAATTATATTGCACTGTACTGATAATTTATACAAACCTCTGAATTAATGTTTCATCAGAATTCTTTCAATTCAGTTAAACAATATAAGAAAAAAATACGAGTTTATCTTTAATAAATTAAAAAACAGATCAAAACAATTAAATTCTTTCATTAGTTCTTAAATGACTTAAAGAGGATAGAATGCAAGGATTGCTACAAATATTTGTTTAAAATATAGCAAAAACCTTTGGGCTTAACGATACATCAGCTACGAGTACATTAGTTAAGAATGCAAAACTTACAAGAAACCTTTGTCAAAGCGTTCGGCTACATTTTAAGGTACCAGAATGCAAGGATTAACTCAAACCTTTATTGAAATGTTTTATCAAGTCTTCCCTGGTCCAATTACAAGAAGTCAAAGCAAAGAAACCATTTTCATCTAAAATCCTGTCAACTGTATCAATGTAACACTGCCTTTTCCTGGCTGGATTTTCTGGGCTAAGACTAATTGCATCATATGTTCCTACATACATGTAAAGGAAAATATAATTCATCAATAAAAAAATTGTGACTCTTTTTATTACCAAAAATAAGTACACTTAAAGAGTAGAAATTAATATAACTTCCAATCAAAGCAATCTGTGTATATAGATCAAATGTAAGTATCAACCTGGCAATCAGTATATCTAATTAAATAAACTTTTCTTACATTCCAATGCATTATTTCATCAATTAGGTATCTTTGCTGTTAATGATATTTTTGGCAATAATACTAGTAATATTTTACAAGGTTTAACCATCTTAAAAAGTTTAGGTTAGTAACAAATACATATATTAAGCTAACATTACAAAACAATCTATAAAATAAATATACAGCAATAAAGAATAAAATTCAAAATTAATTACATTAAATATATTAAACAGTCTACCCAATATTGTTAATGAAAGTAACAATAAAAAATAAATAATATAGTATATCTTACTTAGAGAACACAGGTAAACTAACTGTTGGTTTGAATGATACTATCTTGTTTATTAATCTCTTGATGAACAAAATATTCACATAGTTATATCATCAATATAAGGAAAAACTTGAACATTTAAAATCTCAAACATTTAAGAGCTGGGAGGAAGAGGTCTAGATAGCACCTGACCCTTTCAGGTCGCTAACAACAAAACAACCAAACACTGACCTAGACAGTATGTACCTAAAAGTAATTCTAGGAATCTATGTTGTTTTCTGACATCATACTAGCCTATAAAATATCCTCTAAGAAGTATGAAGATTGGAAAGCCAAAGACATTGTCAAATGGCAAATTTGACGAGATATTCCTGAAATGTATTCTGATGGTGTTCAGGTACATTTTGATCAACAAATTATATGAGCTACACAAATCAATTATGTGGATAGAGCAAGATTTGTTATGTAATATAAACAACACATATTAAGCCCTTCTGAAAGACTACATTTGTAACTATAGCAACAAATGGACCTGACATAACATAGAAAACTTTCTTCTGAACAAGAAACTGGGTCAATCAAGATTGGTAACATAACTGGTCTTTTGTAGTAAGAAAAAAGGCATAAAATATCAGATCTTTTCCTACCTGGAACAAATAGTATAAGAAAATATGTCTTTTGTGAAATATGGAAGAACAAGCAAGTCACTAAATATTCAAGAAGAGGAGAAGTGAAACGTCATAATACAAGACCTAAGTCCCTGAGGACAATGTCTAGGGACCTGGATATGAAGTAAATGAAAAGCTTGAAAAGGATCAGTAAAGATTGAGGACAACAGTGGAAAATGACCATTGTGAAACCAGAAAGGACAGCTTTGTAGCTTGCAACAGAACAAGCAGACGAGTCACAATCATGAAATATTAAACATAAAAATGAAGAAATCTGTGGAGAAGTTGGAGAAAGACAAGAAACAGAATTTCTAAGGCACAATTTCTTGAAGATACATTCCAACAAGATTGGAAGACCACCACAAAAGAATACATGCAAGATGTGACAACAAGGTACTTGAGAAAAGGATCTGGCTCCTGGAATAAAGGATCTTCTAAAACCAGCCACACTGAACATCACCGTAGAAGACGAACTTTTGAGGTTGGAGTACAAGATGTTTCCAATAGACAGTGAAATGGGATTCCCTTGAGATAGATGCTGTTGTAGTGAAAACTATGATTGTGCTCACCAGTGTGGAGCAGTAAGTATAATTCAACAATTCAGTGAACTGATCCTGACCAATGTGGTGCACTCTTATTGGTGGAGGGTTGTCGTATGCTTATTTGCATGATACAGTGCAGCTCTACCACGTGGAAATTTTTAAACACTTCAGTAATAATTTCTGAAAACACACACACACACATCTTGATATTGGGCTAATCTATATATATGTTGATGAATAAACACCCAATTTATTATAACTGAAAAACAGACCATTAACACTATGCTCTTTGTTCTCACGTTTAATAATGGTCTTCGAAATGACAAACGTATTTTGCCAGGATAAAACAAACTCTCATTTTGCAATAACTTCTTTGAACTACTGTTATTTTACACCGTCTTATTTCAAGATTGGTTTGCATAGCATGTTTGAAATATGTTTAATGGGCTTCTCCTGCCTTGATTACATGTTTGTTCTCTACAACTACTGCAAAAAACCTAGAGCTATTTTCAAAGAAACCTAGGAAATATCTAACTAAAGTCTCACAGTTTTGTCTCAGATAAAGAACATTTTACACATTATAATTTACTTTGTGTAAATCCAATTAAAGGCACTGTTTTGTTTTTCACTAGTGTATAGGTTTTCAGGCTTTAACTTCAAAAGTTTATTTGCAGAGATGAATAGCTTCTAAACACCTTTTTTCCAACTGAAGATCGGATAATTCCTGATCCCTAAATTCTGCATACCCCTTTCTATGATATTAACTTTTTAAAGTACTTTTACATTACATTGTAAAACAATATACTTCAATAGCTATATATTAAAAACTTTTTGTTTTCAACCTTTTGTGGACAGGCTGAAATCTCCCTTGGACTGGCAGTTAGGAAATACTGACAAAAACCACTGAACAGTTGGCATGGTATCTTTCATCATCAATGATATCAATGACTGATCTAATCAATAATTTCACAACTGATGTTGCCTCACCAGATTTTGAATGAACTAAGCTTTGTGGTTGATTGGAAAATGTTGGTTCTAACCAATTAGCTTTTAGAAACTGGTTCACTTCTCAGGACATATCTAGCTAATCAACTTAAAAATCTTGATATTAAATTAGACCACCGATATTATTGATAGAGTGACATGGCTACTGAGTTATGCAAATTACAGATGCACAGAGAAAGCACCAATGCAACTGAAAGGTCCACTAAACCTAACACATTAAGGGTAAGAAAGATTATGGGAAAATGTTCATATGGATCAGTCAAAATCCAATATGCAACTTTGCGATACCACACAGTAATGTAAGACAATATTTATTTTCTTCTTCATATTTTTGGGATATGCAATGAAAAATCCTGGATAATGATACTCCTGATAAAAATACAGTACATCAATTTTTAAACTAGCTATATGCTCAAAACACATTATAATTGGAAAGAAGCTGTGGTACAATACCACTCAAAGTAAATATACATTTAAATACATATAACATGAATTTTTAACTACAGTACCTTTGTCCAGAACAACTTTGTACTTGTGTTTGAGTAAAGATTCTGTAGATAGACATTCTTCTGCCTTTAGAATATCTTCAACCTAAAATATAAAGAAAAAATAAACAAACTAAAATTAAGTGGGTCAAACTTTACCCAGGTAGCATATTCTATCCATCCCAATAATAATAGAAGCAATGCTAATGTAGAATATGTCTCTACGAATCAAACAGAACAACAAAAATCGTAGGTGCATTGACAGTGCTTTTTATCTGAGCTTAATGTAAGATTACAAGTCATCATTGTATCCTAGATGTGATTGCTACAGTTACATTAGCAATATTCATTCAAAGTAAACTTGATGAATTTTACTCTGTTTATCCGATTTATCAAATTTACTTTTAATTATGACAGAGTACTTCCTTTCATTGTAATATTTATTCAATATATGATATTTAAGCAAATCACAATTAAAGTTCTAAAGTTGCAGGACTGGCAGTTCAACTCCAAAGAGCAAAAAATAAATGCATAAAGATTGATTTTGATGGGCAGTTCGAACAAAAAACAAAGAACTTATTCTAATTGACAAAAATATTTAGTAGTTGTTAACCCTCTAGATATGGGTGGGACAAAGTGCACACATCACAACCTTTTTTACAGAATTACATTAAAAATCTAATTAAACTATTTCATTATCAGTTTATATCAATAAACTTGGTATCAAGTCATGGTTTATAATTCAAATGTTAATATTATACAAGTTATAATTACTTAATTTCAAAAAGAAACATTTGAATAAGTTCTTAATCTTCAATTTTATGTGTTACGTGACACTTCTTTGCTCCATTTTAGAATTTCTTTACACTTGTATATTACTTTCTAGGTTTCAAGGACTTACACACTTATACATTAGATATCCCCAAGCTAGAATGAAAGCTTACAGCATTTATTCTTGTTACTTTGATGAATTATATGCACTAAAATGAAACTCACATGCCACACCCATTCCTAGTATATGCTGTCTTTAAGAAAATGTAAATAATTTATTTGCTATTGGATTATTTATAACTAATAGAAAAAGATTTTAATTCAATGCTTTCTTTATGAGATTAGCTCATTCTCATGATTGGTTTTGAATTATTCTGCAATAATTTCATAGTTTGCTATCACCAAGGTTGCCTCAACCACATAAGGAAAGCATTTTAATGCACATATAGCTTAGTTAGAAAGCCAGTTGAATTAGAATAGTTTTAAGACACTGTTTTTTTATTGCATGTAATATTTTGTGTTATAAATACTATATTTAAAATATATAAAAATTAAGTAAAGTACTAACAACACCCCCACAAAAGTAAGGTTAAACTTTCATTGAGACTTCAAGACACCGAGAACAGAAGTGTACAAGGCCTACAGGTAAGTAGTAACTTTTGTGTTTTTATGTTTATTTTTTACTTATTGTTATAAAGGTAACTAAAATGTGAAAATTAGAAACACATTAGGTTAGATAATAAAATTTAAATTAAAAAAATAATTGATAACAGTAGCATGTCTTGTGAGTGTAGCATATTGTAATTTAAATGAGCATGCTGGTAACTTGATGTTGTATTCACACAAATACAAACTGTAAAATTGATTACTTGTTTGTTGTTAAGCGCAAAGCTACACAATGGGCTATCTGTGCTCCGCCTAACATGGGTATCGAAACAAGCTTTCTAGCGTTATGAGTCAACAGACATACTGCTGTGCCACTGGGGGGGCTAAAACTGTAAAATAAAAAAGTATTATTATTCTTAACATGAAAATCACCTTGCACTCAGACTAGCGTAAGTCAGACTCTGACTCCATAAATCTTTGTTAAAAATACTTAATTAAAAAATCAGATTTTTGTTCACAAAAGACTCTTAATGTTCACTAAAAGCTTGCCAAATTTCATGAAGATATACTTACTACAATAACAGTTATAGTATGTGTAGTTTAACAGTTACATGATGATTGCAAAGTTGGTCAAAAATGGCCAGCTCATATAGAGAGAGGGTTAACCACTATTAAGGTTAGTTTTTTACATGGGAATACAAAGTTTAATATCCATCTATGGCAAAATGTTAAAGTATAATATTATAATATTCACATAGCTCAAAAACAAGACTGATTTTTAAGTAAATATATTGAATCATTCAAAACCAAAACATGGGACTTATGAAGGTGAATAGCTTTTGAAATATTATTTATTATTTTGGTTAATATACAGTCTTTTGCAGCATGGAAAAACAACTCTGAAGTTTAAGCACATGAAATTCTTCAAAATTCTTGTTTTAGATATTAATCACATTAAAAATATTAAACTTGTTCTGCAGAGTGACTGTGATATTTGACTCATTACAAACACTCTTTAATTAAAAATTTTTTTATACGTTGAAAAATATATTTATGTGCAATACCTGTTAAAATCCCACACAGTAGCTTTCAATAAGCAAATTTTTAGTGAAATAAAGCTGAAGTGTATAATTTCCATCCTTGACACAATTTGCATCAAGATGTTTTTTATACATGTGATTCATAATTTTTGTAAAGCTTCCTAAAGTTTGAATAGGATGAAAGATAACTGAAAAACATACTATTTCTTGATTTACATTATATCAAATGGGTTGTTTAATAAAAAAAGTAAAAACAAAATAGGTTAATTTTCATAGAAAGCAAAAACCTTGAAATAATAAGATTTTTTTTGGGACTGAACTTATCATGGACACAAAATAATTTGTAATGAAATGCAAAAAATTACATAATTTTGAGGATTAATAATTACCTCAAACTTCACCTGCACTCCTTCCTGCATACTAAGTGATTGAGCCAGCTCAACAGCCGATTGAATAAAATCTACTCCACAGACATTTTTGAAACCTCTTTTGGCCTGTAAAGAAAATAAATTTGTTTCTTAGAATAAGAATTAAGAAGAGCTGTCTATTTTGTTAATGAAAAAAGTGGTTAATAGTAGTTAGATTAATTATTGTAAAATATTCATCTTTCTACTCTTTTTTTTTATTTACTTATCAGCTAGAGTCACCATCAAGAATAATAATTTATGAATTACTATTTAGTTTTTCTTCTTTCACATGCTCAAGTAAAATGCAAATACCATTGCCACAAACAATATCAAAATGCTACAGTAATTTATATTTCATTAGATGTGCATAAAGTTTTATATAGCCATTTCTGTTTGTAATGAGAGAGAAATGCATTAGCTAAAGTTGGACCTAGTGGGGAGCCCATCGCAACACTATCTATTTGTTCATACAAGGTGTTGTTGAACAGGAAATGTGAATTCTTAGTGGTAAGATCCAGCATGGTCTTAATTTGATTTTCAGAAAAGCCATTTAGAGGAATGTTATTACGCAAAAGCTCAGATATGCATATGTTAATAGTTTTATTTAAGGGAATATTTGTAAAGAGGGAGGTAACATCAAAGCTCGCCATGAAGAGATTATCTATACTTCAGCCACTCACTACTAATGAATATACTATCCCGGATTCCTTCCACTTTGAACGTGAACTAAGTCAACTACCCCCCCTCAGATCAGTCCTTTGTTTATTTACAAGTTTTTAAATCAAATACTCATATACAGGGTTGAGTATATTATAACAGTTTTTAATAGGCAAATTGGCAAGTTATGTAACAATCACAACTAACATAATTACACAGACAAACAACATTATCAAAATGTAATTTTGATATTGTTTGGCCTTTTATAAGCCATAAAGATGGCATTAGAAAACAAAGAAATTTGGATCAACTTGGAGCACCAAGGTCATCCAGAAGAAGACCTGCAACAAGTCATACCCCAGCAGTGGCAAGCAAAGTGTGGTGTCTTGTGACAGATGAGAATCAATGAACAGAAATATCAGTGGTAAAAGCCATCTATGACTTCCATACAACAGTATGCAACATAATCAAGAAGGATCTCAATCTAAAAAAGGAGCATGAGTTGCTTTCACAACATATCCATTCAACTGTCACATACCTCAAGTAGATGGAAAATGAAACAGGTATTCATATGAAGACATAATTGTCATGTCAACAGATGCAGCACCTATTGATTTCTTTGTGATCAGACTGTTAAAATGGGCACTAGAAAACCACCATCTCCTACACACTAGGTGGATTATGGAAAGTTTGCACAGAGGAGTGATGTACTTTTGACATACCATTTATGTTGGAACCTTTTAGAATGGAAATTCCACCCACTATAAAGCTATTGTCAAGATGCATGTTCATCAGATAGAGCATGAGTGGATGTAGCAGCATGGATTTTAACAATGTGGTAAGGCTTCAAAATCATTTAAATATGATGTACACAACCCTCTATGTATGTGGTTTTGTGTGCACTCAATTTAAAGCAGCACTTCTGTCAACAAAGATAATAATCTCATGTTTTTATGAGCTAGAACAAATCTTTTAAATAAGTTGCAACTTTTTAAATACATAACAAAGATGCACAATGTACAATACATATCTTTCAAACAACTAAACACCAATTATTCCACCACTGCTCAAGGATTACTCAACATTTGTCTAGTTTTATATAAATTTTAGAATGAAGACTATTTTATATGTTAAAAAATGCATGATGAACAACAACTTAAAACATCTGATTTATAACTGTAACAACACACAAATAAAACAAGACTGCTTTTAAAAAAAAAAGCGACCAACATATTGTAATAGAGCAACAACAAAGTCCATTAGATTATATTCTATCCAATTAAAACTATATGAATGCTTTTGTTGTTGTTTTTTAAATTCCTCCATTTGATACTACATCAATACCTAAAGTATGCAACTGCTTTTAGATAAAAAAATGCTTTTTAAACTAAAGTACAATACAAAATTATTCATTAAAAACTCACAAAGCTATTGAATAATATTGCTGTGGATTTTTTTTACATAATATATAAAACTTAAATTTCAAAATAAAATCAGATTCACATCTGATATATATTTAGCTAGAAGAGATACACACTTTGAACATGACAGATAGATTTCACCAACCAGTTCTATTAAAAGAACTCCATTTCCACTTCCTAGATCCAAGACAGGATCTGTTTGATGAATGTTTTCATTTGTACTTAGCCAGGTTACAAGTCTGTCCACACAATCTTCTCCAAACCTGTAGGTACATACAAGCTCTATCTCAATATCCTAGTTGATGTCACATCTTGTATAAATTAACAAACTCAATATCCAAACCTGTAGGTACATACAAGCTCTACCTCAACATCCTAGTTGATGTCACATTTTGTATAAATTAACAAACTAAATATATCAAAATTGGTAAATATCATGGTATATAATGAAGAAAAAACATTATGAAAAGAATACTGATGGTATTTCAACATGGTTAAGTCAAAACAATATTTACATTATTAACTATATAAATGAAACAACCATAATTGTTTTTCTTTACTGTGGACAACATTTAGATATTCAGGTAACACTGAAACTAGCCAATAAATTTGAGATTCAATTTTCCCAACTAAAGTATAATTATACAACAAATGGTGATATGTGTTGCATAATTTCAACAGTAAATAAAAAAATAGTTCAATAGATAGAAGATAATTAATGTAAATGAAATGTGAAAGAATGGAACTGTCTCAAGTACACTGCTTTTGTGTGTTACTATATTAATGATTCAAGAAGTGTTGCACCTAGAATAAGATTGATCTTTTATATCTGTAATTCTGAGTGTAAAATTTGGTGTGTTCATAGTTATATATCATGGAGTCACTGACAAACCAAAATATCCATAGCAAGGTATTAGTGTTAATACTGTAATGATTCTCTTGCAATTATTACATGTTCAGAGTTGTGCTAAATGTTACATTGCACCATGGATGGATTTTATTTTCCCATCTTAATTTTCTTAAGCATTTTTGAATTTTGCTGCATCATCTATCCTATTTATAATAATTTTGAATTAATAAATAATTTTAACGTTTCAGACAATATATATATATATATACGACTTTGTGTGCAACCTTTTTTTCTCTGAATACACAGCTTCTACACACATATACACTGTCTGCTTCATATTTATGCTACATTTTCCCTGATTTAGTGTACTTTACCATAAAATATTTGTAACCACGGTATGTGTTTCTGAATGTGAGTATTAAGTGTTAGTTACTAAATTTGTGAGTAAATGGCAAGTCTGATAGAATGCTTTCAAACTTCAGTGTTTTGAGATTTGTGGTTTTGTTCATTATGACTAAATAAAGTTTCAACTTTTACATATTCACAGATGAGGATTAAAATATATTGTAGAATAGAAAGCAACTAAACACCTATAAATACAACTAATAATATTAAATTTTAATAATAAAAATGCTACACTTCTCAAATGACTTACATATCTGAGCTTGAGATTGCATGTTATTAGCCAATAACTGTGTTCCTACAGACTGTCGTTAAATACATGATTAATATCATGAAGTACTATTGGTTTCCGTTTCTCAAGACTCACATGCCATACCAGACTCCACTAACTGTGAATCATCATCACAGAATGCATAATATTGGAGGGAGATAGTTAAGAATATGTATGTTTAGCTACAATACACAGTTAACACAATAAAGTGATGAAGGGTAGAAGCTTTAGATTATCATAGGCTATTCTTGTTAGTAGTCCATCACCATAAGAAACTTGAGAGTAAACAATAGAATAATTTTTAGCCCTAAGACAAAGAACTAAGACATATCTTTACCTGCAGAGTATAACTTTTTTTCCTGAGAATATATTAAAGTTTACAGTTGTTATTTTATTGTTAATTAGTTAGGATTGGCCACTTTCACATTTTATTACTGCAGGTACAGGTAAGCCTAAAGTTATGATATTATGCTTAGTAGTAGATCATTGGGCCAAATTTACTGTTGTTTATAGGTAGTAATACTACAGCTACTAAGTTATAGGTTAATAAAGTTGGATTGAAATAAAGAATTATCACTACTATTAGCTAGGAAACAAGAACTAATATATTTTAAGTTTAAATTATTGTTTGTATTATTATATGGTAGCTACTGAGAATTTAAGCCATTAATAAAATATTTAAATTAGAAATGGTACCAATATCAATAATTAATAGTACAAGTACTGGTTAATTGGGGATTTTAAGTGTTCAATTTATCTATAATTGGATCCATAAACTGTGAAATAGCTTACTTTTAGTTAAACTTAAATATACAATTATTACGTAAATGAAATAAGAATACTGAATAAAGATCACTAATCAGTAATATGTTAGAGGTATATAGGGATAAATGGAGTGGATTTATAGGGTGCATCAGATGCCAAGATTATGTTATGTTTGAGAATTAAAACCTTCATCGTTATTTTAAGGAGGATAAAAAAGATACAGTACCCTACACTTTCAGAGTCATGTGAAAATATTTGAGCCATCATGACAGCAAGAGGTAAAGAGATGGAGTTAAAGAAATAGGAGAATAAAATGAATCACTGATCTGCCAGAATCCACTGAAGAGGACATAATAGGATACATCAAAAGTATGAAGAGACAAGAGAAAGGAGATTTCCCAAAAGAGACACGAGAGCTTTGGAAACCAGAAATTCCATATCTCAGAAATGCAAAGGATGAGGTGAAGCCCACGCAGTAAACAAGGTGATAAAGACTCTCAAATGAAATAGATAAATAGGAGTCAATACTGATTCAAGAGTCTGACTAGCCAACCCCAACAACCAGACTCCTGAAGGAAAAGGGAGGTCATAACAGATACCTCCTAGAATATAACATGGAGATGCCAAATATCCATACAGTGGTGGAAATGAAAACCCAGTGAGTGCATTCTACATGTGAAAGCCCTCAGGAATTAGATGAAAACATGGGTGTGAACCCTGAAAGACAAAGAAATTCCTGAGATACAAGTTGTGTGACTGAAGGGTTTTCTGCAAAGTGAACCCAAAGGTGGATAAAGCATAAAAGCCAAGCTCTCACGGGAACAAAGCTGAAGAATGGTTCCAGAGAAAGCTGATTACTGAACCACAAGATGGCTAGTCTCTTAGAAAAGGGGATACCATGAATGGGCAATGGACAAGAACTTCCAAAGAAATTTCTGTATGTAAGAAAGGTGTCAAATAGAGTTGCCTAAGATAAAACTAGGGTAGATTATCTCTAGAAAATAAAGCACCCCAATAAAGCAAAATCCAGAAACAAAAAAGCAAGTGAGCTGGGCAATATCCAAAAAAGAAAATGGGTCAGCCTGAACAACAAGTTAGTACAACCTTCTCCCAGTAAAGTTGTTGGGGTAGTTGAGATTAATTATCAATTTCTGCTGAAACCCAAACACTGGGTTAATGACAATGGGAAATATTCATGTTAAAGAAACCATATAACAGACTTAAGAACACATGTTTCAAAATATCTTAGTTTAGAAAAAAAAAGAAATCAAGGGAATATATAAGAAAATAATAACTAATATCAGAAGCTCTAACTGAAATCAATTTTAAAATTTATATCTTCCCTTCTTTAAATCAAGAAAATGAAGGTAAGAAAAATAACACTTCATGTTAAATAAAAGTTGAAAATAAGTGCAAAAATTTCCTAATTATAAATTCAAAAATACACAATTGAACACCGCAGTGCCAAGGAAAGTAATGAGCTTTTTGTATACACAGAGTGCTCAAGGGAAGTAATGTGCATGGAGGATGTGTCATCCGCCTATTAATGAAGGACTATAGTCTAATGCTGAGTGCATCATAGATTGATGTAGTACACATAGTTATATGTAGGGCCAAGAGTTTTGTTCAGAAGCTTTGCCCATGCTCAAAACGTTTCTGCAGTGTGGCAAGGTACAAGATATATGTTCTGCAGAGAGGTGAGTAGTGTTTCTGAACTTAAAATATAAGAAAAAGCATGGTGAAGATGAAATTCAGCCACTGAGATTACCTAAACCTACCAAAATAAACAATCAAAACTAAATTAAAGTGTAGCCCTTCACATTCTTATACCTATACAACAAAAATACCAAAAGAAGTAAAGCTATAAAAGCATAACCAGAGAAATATGGAGGGTATGGAAGTTCTACATAACTCGAACCAAAATTAATATCTTGTATCCAAGATAAAATTACCCAATATAGACAACAAAAGATAATCTAAATAGCACGAAATACCAAACAGACTGCACAGTAGCTTATTTATTTTGTCTCACTGAGATGTTTGCAAAATTGTTCATTTTGAATAAAATTAGGTGATTGTTATCAGACAGATTTCATACAAAAAAAAAACTGTTCTGCACATTTAGTGAGGAAGACCAGAGACTTCTAAAGCTAAATTATCATGACAAGATTTAGTTGTAATACTAAAGGCAATGTTTAACTGTGTCAATAACCTGCACATTGAACTTCTAAACCTTTATGAAAGCTAGCTGCTTTGAGTTGTCATACATGAGTAATAATGATTACAAAATGCAATGCCATTGTAATGACTGGCAAAGAGGAATATTCCATCAAACTCCAAATAGCTGAACTCCCCAAAAACTTTCTCCACATAAGGAAAATGTCAAATGGAGTTTCCCAAAATAAAACTGGGGGGAGTTTAACTCCAGAAAATAAGGCACCCCAATAAAGCAAAACCAACCCAGAAGCAAAGAAACAAGTGAACTGAGCAACATCTGAAGAAGAAAATAAATCCGCGTGAACAACAGGTTAGTGCAACCTTACCCAGATGAAGATGTCCTCTACATGAGGATCAAGTCTACCCTAACTGCTAACAAAATTAACAAACTCCTAGAAAACCATCAGCAATAATCAAACAATTAAAAATACACAACAGCACCATCTCACACATCCAGCAAAGATTTACAAAGAAGGCTACCCTCTACAGTCTATAATTAAACACAGAGATGCCATCCCTCAGCTAGATGCATAGTAGATACAATATTGTTGTAGGCTATGTTTTTGACATTATAATTTAGATGTTTCATTTTTGGCATGATATAAGGATCATGTGTGATCTCTAGAAGTTTCTTGAATGCCTAGGACTAATGTTGAAGAGTGTCAGGAACTTACTTTTTAGTAGAATATATTTAAGTAAGTATTTGGGTGTGTTAGGCTAAGGATTCTTCTACAGTAGGTATCTGTGACTTGTTGGCGATAAATTTGATAATAAACGAACAGCACTCATTTCACTTGTTTTCAAAATAATATATATATATTCAGAACAAGTTAAATGTAGGTAAAACAGATTCTTTAACACTATAGATTATAAGCATATCATAAACACTATATATATAGTTCTCTTCTTGTCAAAAGTCCACTTGGGCCTATTCAATTGCTTTGGAATTTCAGTTGACAAGCCGAACTATCTTCTGTACTACTGTTGCACTACTATTCTGTGTGTTGTATAATTCACTTACAATTGTGGTGCAAGTTACCACAGTCATATACTACTCTTTCAGTAATCGTTTGGTCTTCTTTTTTCAAAATATCCTCCGTTCCTTTTGTCAATGTGCATTCAGGCTGATTCAATTACTTTAGAACTATGCTCTGATGGAATAAATTCTTCTTCTTATCTCCTTTTATAATGTTAGTCTAACTCTAACATATTAAACATTAGACCTATGTTAATCATTAAGCCTATCACTTTTATGGTAGTTAACTTCATGCCAGACTTTTCCTTGGCTATGACTTTACTATCTTCTGCTATTGTCTGTTTGCTGTTTCTGCTCGTCTCACACTATTTATATGTTTATCACTTAATCGTCTGCCCACCTTGTAGAAATCTCAATAGTCTCAACATCAAAGAATTACAAACACAACTTCCAACAATCGTTTGCTTTAACTATTATTATA